ATCACATGGACCACAGCTTTGTCTAACTCAATGAAACTGTGAGCCATGCCATGTAGGGCCACCCAAGATGGATGGGTAATGGTGGAAAGTTCTGACAAAATGTGGTCCACTGGAGAAGGGAACGGCAAACCACTTCAGTAGTCTTGCCTTGAGAACCCCAGGAACAGTATGAAAAGGCAAAAAGATAGGACACTGAAAGATGAAGTCCCCAGGTCTGTAGGTGCCCAATATGCTACTGGAGATCAGCAGAGAAATAACTCCAGAAAGAATGAAGAGTCGGAACAATGCAAAAACAACACCCAGTTGTGGATGTGCTGTATAGAGCAATATAGCATAGGAACCTGGAAAGTTAGGTCCATGAATCAAGGCAAATTGGAACTGGTCAAACATGAGATGGCAAGAGTGAACATTGACATTTTAGGAATCAGTGAACTAAAATGGACTAGAATGGGTGAATTTAACTCAGATGACCATGATATCTACTACTGTGGGCAAGAATCCATTCGAAAAAATGGAGTAACCTTCATAGTCAATCAAAAGCCTTAAATGCAGTACTTTGGTACAATCTCAAAAACAACAGAATGATCTCTATTCGTTTCCAAGATAAATCATTCAACATCACAGTAATCCAAGTCTATGCCCTGACCAGTAATGCTGAAGAAGCTGAAGTTGAACAGTTCTATGAAGACCTACAAGACCTCCTAGAACTAACATCCAAAAAAGGTGCCCTTTTCATAATAGGGGACTGGAATGCAAAACTAGGAAGTCAAGAGATACCTGGAGTAACAGGCAAATTTGGCCTTGGAGTACAAAATGAAGCATATCAAAGGCTAACAGAGTTTTGCCAAGAACACATTGGTCATAGTAAATACCCTTTTCCAACAACACAAGAGAAGACTCTACACATGGACATCACCAGGTGGTCAATACCGAAATCAGACTGATTATATTCTTTGCATCCAAAGATGGAGAAACTCTATACAGTCAGCAAAAACAAGACCAGGAGCTGACTGTGGCTCAGATCATGAATTCCTTATTGCCAAATTCAGATTTAAACTGAAGAAAGTAGGGAAAACCACTAGACCATTCAGGTATGACCTAAATCAAATCCCTTACAATTATACAGTGGAAGTGAGAAATAGATTCAAGGGATTAGATCTGATAGACAGAGTGCCTGAAGAACTATGGATAGAGATTTGTGACACTGTATAAGAAGCAGTGACCAAGGCCATCCCCCCAAAAAAGAAATGGATAAAGGCAAAATGGTTATCTGAGGAGGCCTTACAAAGAGCTGAGAAAAGAAGAGAAGCAAAAGGCAAAGGAGAAAAGGAAAGATATACCCATTTGAGTGCAGAGTTCCAAACAATAGCAAGGAGAGATAAGAAAGCCTTCCTCAGTGATCAATGCAAAGAAATAGAGGAAAATAAATGAATTGGAAAGACTAGAGATCTCTTCAAGAAAATTAGAGATACCAAGGCAAAATTTCATGCGAAGATGGGCTCAATAAGGGACAGAAATGGTATGGACCTAACAGAAGCAGAAGATGAGGTGGCAGGAATACACAGAAGAACTGTACAAAAAAGGTCTTAATGACCCAGATAACCATGATGGTGTGATCACTCACCTAGAGCTAGACATCCTGGAGTGTGAAGTCAAGTGGGCCTTAGGAAGCATCACTGTGAACAAAGCTAGTGGAGGTGATGAAATTTCAGTTGACCTATTTCAAATCCTAAATGATGATGCTGTGAAAGTGCTGCAAACTTGGAAAACTCAGCAGTGGTCACAGGACTGGAAAAGGTCAGTTTTCATTCCAATTCCAAAGAAAAGCAATGACAAAGAATGTTTGAACTACCGCACAATTACATTCATCTCACACACTAGCATAGTAATGCTCAAAATTATCCAAGCCAGGCTTCAACAGTACATGAACCATGAAATTCCAGGTGTTCAAGCTAGATTTAGAAAAGACAGAAGAACCAGAGATCAAACTGCCAACATCCACTGGATCATTGAAAAAGCAAGAGAGTTCCAGAAATACCTCTACTTCTGCTTTATTGACTATGCCAAAGCCTTTGACTGTGTGGATCAAAACAAACTGTGGAAAAGTCTTAAAGAGCTGGGAATACCAGACCATCTGACCTGCCTCCTGAGAAATCATTATGCAGGTCAAGAAGCAACAGTTAGAACTGGACATGGAACAACAGACTGGTTCCAAATAGGGAAAGGAGGACATCAAGGCTGTATAGTGTCACCCTGCTTATTTAACTTATATGCAGAGTACATCATGAGAAACACTGGGCTGTATGAAACACAAATTGGAATCGAGATTGCCAGGAGAAATATCAATAACTTCAGATATGCAGATGACACCACCCTTATGTCAGAAAGTGAAGAAGAACTAAAGAACACCTTGATTTAAGTGAAAGAGAAGAGTGAAAAAGTTGGCTTACAGCTCAGCATTCAGAAAACCAAGATCATAGCATCTGGTCCCATCACTTCATGGCAAATAGATGAGGAAACAATGGAAACAGTGAAAAACTTTATTTTCTTGGATTCCAAAATCACTGCAGATGGTGACTGCAGTTATGAAATTAAAAGCTGCTTGTTCCTTGGAAGAAAAGCTAAGATCAACCTAGACAGAATACTAAAAAGCAGAGACATTACCTTGCTGACAAAGGTCCCTCTAATCAAAGTTATAGTTTTCCCAGTAGTCATGTACATATGTGAGAGTTTGACTATAAAGAAAGCTGAGTGCCAAAGAATTGATGTTTTTGAACTATGATGTTGGAGAAGACTCTTGGGAGTCTCTTGGCCTGCAAGGAGATCAAACCATTCAATCCTAAAGGAAGTCAGTCCTAAATATTCATTGGAAGGACTGATGCTGAAGCTGAAACTCCAATACTTTGGCCACCTGATTTGAAGAACTGACTCATTGGAAAAGACCCTGATGCTGGGAAAGATTGAAGGTGGGAGGAGAAGGGGACAACAGAAGATGAGACAGTTGGATGGCATCACTGACTTGATGGACATGAGTTTGAGTAGGCTCTGGGAGTTGGTGATGGACAGGGAACCCTGGCATCCTGCAGTCCATGGGATCAGAAAGAGTCAGACATGACTTAGTGACTGAACTATACCATAGATACTCTGGTCTATGCCAGAGTTTACTATAATTATACTATAATTCACTATACTATATGATTTCTCTCTTCTTTTTCTATTCTATATTGTTAAGGAAATAAGCCTCATTTAGAGATGAAGCCTCTCGGTCATTTTTTTTTAAACTAAAGAACCAGTTATTTAGACTATAAATTAAAACACATTTCCTCTGTGGAGTAATTATATAACTTCACAGCCTATGACATAGAAAAATAAAATAATCTCCAGTGCATAGACTTGCATACTGAACAATGTCCACAACTGCTCTGGGTTAATAGTAAGTTCTCACTAATGTTAATGAAAATTATGTGGCAAAGATTCTACATCACTCAAAGAACATAACCTTTAATTCTTCATGTTACTGATATCCACGGTCTGAATATTGGCTGTTCTTTTAGGTTCCCTCTCTTCAATCTTATATTTAGACTCCATTTTACTGGTAAATTGTTTCTGGAAATTATTCAGGTTTTAACTGTTGTATTACGGAGATGACTGAAAGACTATGGAAATGCACTTTTATGAAAGCTGAAGAGATTTACTATTTTCCTTATGAAAATACTGCCTATTTTTGAGTGACTCCCACCACAGTCACACTGGTCCAAACCCATAGTAATCTATGTAACAAAGGAATTGCTGAGGTTTATTTAATATGTTGAATTTGATAACAATAGCTTCAGACCTTTAGTGTATATAATTTTGAAGTTATAAAGTATTATCATTAGACTTTGTGTCAGTTGAAATTATATGCAAACATGTGAATTGCTTGGAAAATTCTATGTTGATTTGCTTAAAAATTTTTTTTTTCATTTATTTTTGGCTGAACTGGGTCTTTGTTGCTGCCTGAGCTTTCTCTTGTTGCAGAGAGCCAGCTTCTCACTGTGTTGGCCTCTCTTGTTTCCAAGCACAGGCTCTATAGAGTATGGACTCAGTATCTATGGCACACAGACTTAGTTGTTCCATGTTATGTGGGATCTTCCCCAGACCAGGGATCACACCTGTGTCCCTTGCATTTGCCAGAAAATTCTTCATCATTAGACCACCAGGGAAGTCCATCAATCTGCTTTTCTAAGTCACCTTTAGATGATACCATTATGCCTTCAATTATTATAACTAGCATTTATAAAGCACAAATCATATATTGAGTGCTGTATTAGACCCAAAAAACACAGCAAAAAAATCTTGTGTTAAAAGAGCTTGGAGTCTGTAAGGACAGACAGATGTGTAAACAGCTCTTATACAAGGTGGTAAGCATTTAATATAGAAATAAAAGTGCTCTTAGGCAGCATGAAATAGGGAGTGTCCAACCTGAGGCTTGGATGGCAGAGAGAAGGTGAGACCAGAGTAGAGAAAAAAGTTGTTTCCTTGGGTCTTAAGATTGAACAGACCACTAGGACCAAAAGAGGGAATGATCACTACAGGCAAAGGAAGAAATATTTATGAGGACATGGCAAAACACAGAGCAAGTGGCATCTTGGTGAAGCCCTCAGTCCTAGGATAGAGTTTAGCTGCAGGTGCTTCAGGGAAGAGTTGCACCTGGAAAACTAAGCTGGAACCAAAAATCAAAAGATTTTAATGCCTTGACTGGGAGTTTGGGTTTATGTAATAGACAATGGTCAGCCCTTGATTGCTTAAAAGATATTTTCAAAGTGCAGCTTCTATTACTTGCTGAACAGTTCCAGATGTGACTGAGAGATGAGGAGTCATCTGAAGTCTCACTTGGGCAATGATTCAAATCTTGAACTTATCTAAGACTGTGGGATCTATAAAACAACTAAAGGGAGCATTGAAATATAATGAAAGTGTTACAAAATGATGTTTGTGATTGTTACTTTGTTTTTCTCCAGTGGGAGAGACTTCTGAGATTTGCCCAGAAGCCACTGACTTTTTGTGCTACGACAAGAAGTGTATTGCATCCCACCTTGTCTGTGACTATAAGCCAGACTGCTCTGATGGGTCTGATGAAACTCACTGTGGTAAGTGTATCTGACTGTTCTAATGCTGCCAGTTCAGCACAGAGTTTCACTGTATTAGTAAAGTAACTTATTGACATTGGTGAATGAGAAGAAATATTCTTTTCATGCACTAGAGTAGACTTGGAACATTCAAAATATTTTTCCAACTTCTCTCTGAAGATATTTAAATAGAAGCCCTACCATCCTTTTTATCCCCATACTAAAAACTGCAGCAAATCTATAGCAAATCGTGTGACAAAAATTTCCCATTATGTCATTGTATAGAACTGTGTGCAGAGTCAGAATTCAGACTGTCAGAAATTGAACTAGCAGTCTACATTTCTTCATCAATTCTCATTACTGTTTTCATTCCTCCCCCCTCAACCCCCACCAATGGCTGATTTTATAGATGAGGCAAAAAATGAGCACCTTGAATAAATACTAGTTTAATGATTAATTTTATTAATTACATTGCACTGGAAAAAATACATGAGCCACATTTTAAAAATTCAAACTTTAATTCAAATGATTTTTAAAGTCATGTATAAAGCCAAGTATGTAATTTTAAAACATGAGCACATACTTAAATCCAAAGAATTTTTTTTTTCATATATCTTACTGGTGAGAATTCATATACCACACAGGCTACCTGTTGCAATTAGCATTTGCTGTGTAACAAAGTACCCTAAGAGTTAGTGGTCCAAACAAGTTTCATTTGGTTTGCAATTTTGTGGGTCAGTAAGTTAGGAAGGAATCAGTGAGGCAGCTTGTCTTAGATCCACATGGCTCAAACTGGGACATCTGGACCTGGAGGAGCACTTCCAAGATGGTGGTATCTCTTATTTATTTGGCACGTGTGTGCTCTTTGGTTTCTTCGTATGGATCAGCATGGAATCAACTTCTACGGCAATTGGTGTGGCTTGGACTATCACAGGTTAGTCAGACATCTTTCATGGGGTTGGCTTTTCCATGTATTGAATGAAAAAAATGAATGTGCAACCTGAAAGTGGAGACTTGTGGTTTCTTTGGAGGCCTCTAGTGACTCAGATGGTAAAGAATCTGCCTGCAATGTGAGAGACCTGGGTTCTATCTCTGGGTCGGAAAGATCCCCTGGAGAAGGGAATGACAACCCCCTCTGGTATCCTTGATTGGAGAATGCCAGGGACAGAGAAGCCTGGCGGGCTACAGTCCACAGGGCCACACAGGAACACAACTGGGTGACTAACACCACACCACTGCTACTATAACTACTAAATACTACTGCTGCTGCTACTACCACTTGGAGGACTCAAGTCTACAAGACAGCCTCTCAGATAGCTCTGAGGGAGTCTTCCCAAGAGGGCCAGGAAGAGTCAGATTATATAGGAATTTTGCGACAAAGACAAGGTAGTCCAGACATCAGAAGATTACTGTTAATTAAAGAAAACCAGATATCTTAAGGAACTTAGTGCTTTTCTGTGTGTGGGAAGATGCAAGACAGTGGGCTCACTGAAATCACTCTCTGGACACCCATCTCAGCTATCTAGGGTGGCGCCTGGTTTCTCCCCTCATGAGTCCCCTCAGGGTACCCTGCTGTGGAGGCTGCAGTGGCTGAGGGCTTGGTGGCAGGCGTCCTGCTGTTTCTGCCCTGAGTTCCCTGGGGCTCACTATGGGGGAGGGGGTGGTGGCTGATAGCTACAACATTCTTTGTCTACTGACATGGCAGGCGACATTTTGCATTCACACATGTGAATGTTCCAAGAGCAAGCATCCCAGGAGTCTGTGGAAAAATAGCAAGTGTGTTTATGATTTCACCTGAGAAGTTTCAGAATGTCCCTCCTGACTTCCTGATGGTCATGCAGATAACAAAGTCTAGACTAGATTCAAAGGGAGGAAGAGTGTAGACTCCATTTCTCAATGGGAAAACATCACACATGCACTGGGAAGGAGTAATACTCAAGCCGTGGTTAAGTGTTTTTTATTTTTAGCTCAGTATTGTTTTCAAGATGGTACAGTGACAATGCTTCTGCAGTGTTCATTTATCCTTTTTGGATCCATTATTTTTTTATTTGTGGTAAAATATATGTGCAATAAAATGTACTATTCTTGCCTTTCAATGTTACGGTTCAGGGGTAGTAAGTGTATTTGCATTGTTGTGCAGCCAACATCACCACCTATAACCAGAACTTTTTTTGTCTTGAAAACTAAAACCCTGTGCCAATTAAGCAACAGCCCTTCCTTTTCCCTAACTCTCAGCCCCCAACCACCACCCTTCTAATTTTTTTCTATTCATTTGATGACTCTAGGTACCTCATATAAGTGGAATTACTGTATTTGTCCTTTTGTGACTGGCTTATTTCAGTTAGCATATTATTATCAACATTCACCCCATCTTTTCATTTTAAATCAAGCATAAAAAAGTGTAAATGGTTGGTACTTTTTAAAACTATACTACTAATACTATAATATATAATCTTAATTTTATAAAATATTGTTTCCTCTATATTGTATATTTTCTCCAATGAAATTTATAATATATTAACTAATAGTTCCTAGTATTATTTTTAGCTTCTTTTACATGAATCAAATATATATATATATATGTATATTTTAATTGGCTGTAAGGAATTGATTTCAATGGAGTTCTTAAACAGTTCTCTGAAGCATTTTGAAATCACCATTCTCCCCACAAGACATGACAAATAGAGCTTTAATAATCACCAGTAAAAACATTAAAAACTTGGCAAAGTTTAAGAAGGTTCTAAAGGAAAAATAATAAGAATATGGTGATAGTGAGGTACATAATTCAGTGGGACAAAAGGGACAGCTGTTACATGCATATAGAAAATTTATTACAGATAGTGAATTATCTTTCTCTCATGTGAAAATATACATATATTGAGAATGTTTATATAAAAATTAAACTCTTCCATTTATTCTTATTCCTAAATTGGACTAGGAACCACCTTCTAAACACTTTAGTTCAGTTCAGTCACTCAGTCGTATCCGACTCTTTGTGACCCCATGGACTGCAGCACACCAGGCCTCCCTGTCCATCACCAACTCCCGAAGTTTACTCAAACTCATGTCCATTGAGTTGGTGATGCCATTCAGCCATCTCATCCTCTGTTGTACCCTTCTCTTCCTGCTTTCAATCTTTCCCAGCGTCAAGATCTTTTCAGATGAGTCAGTTCTTCACATCAGGTGGCCAAAATATTGCAGTTTCTGCTTCAACATCAGTCCTTCCAATGAACACTCAGGACTGATCTTCTTTAGGATGGACTGGTTGGATCTCCTTGCAGTCCAGGGGACTCTCAAGAGTCTTCTCCAACACCACAGTTCAAAAGCATCAATTCTTCGGCACTCAGCTTTCTTTATAGTCCAACTCTCATATCCATACATGACTGGAAAAACCATAGCCTTGACTAGATGGATACCTTGTTGGCAAAGTAATGCCACTGCTTTTTAATGTGCTGTCTAGGTTGGCCATAACTTTCCTGCCAAGGAGTAAGCATCTTTTAATTTCATGGCTGTAGTCACCATCTGCAGTGATTTTGGAGCCCCCCAAAATAAAGTCATCCACTGTTTCCACTGTTTCCCCATCTATTTGCCATGAAGTGATGGGACCAGATACCATGATCTTAGTTTTCTGAATGTTGAGCTTTAAGCCAACTTTTTCACTCTCCTCTTTCACTTTCATCAAGAGATTCGTCAGTTCTTCTTCACTTTCTGCCATAAGTATGGTGTCATCTGCATATCTGAAGTTATTGATATTTCTCCCAGCAATCTTGATTCCAGGTTGTGCTTCTTCCAACCCAGTGTTTCTCATGATGTACTCTGCATATAAGTTAAATAAGCAGAGTGACAATATACGACCTTGACGTACTCCTTTCCCTATTTGCAACCTGTCTGTCATTCCATGTCCAGTTCTAACTGTTGGTTCCTGACCTGCATACAGGTTTCTCAAGAGGCAGGTCAGGTGGTCTGGTATTCCCATCTCTTTCAGAATTTTCCACAGTTTACTGTGATGCCAAAGTCAAAGGCTTTGGCATAGTCAATAAAGCAGAAATAGTTATTTTTCTGGAACTCTTTTGCTTTTCCAATGATCCAGCAGATGTTGGCAATTTGATCTCTGGTTCCTCTGCCTTTTCTAAAACCAGCTTGAACATTTGGAAGTTCACAGTTCATGTATTGGGTATATGAAAATGAATAAGACATTGTATTAGGGTTCAGAAATTGACTTTATACTGTGGAAAAATAATTAGAGGGGAAAATATATTAAAATACGAAGTTCTTTGCTTTTTAAAAAGTTTGTAAATGAAAAGATCCCTGGTTATTTTCTTTAAATGTGACAGGTACTGTCAGGAATAAAGTTACCACCAGTTATTTGGGGAGTATATATGAAGAATAATGTGTATGTGTCTGTACATCTATAGACAAAATATAAAAATAGACTTTTAAAACATAAAGAGTTTCAAGTCCTTTGGTTTTTCAGGTGTGATTGCTACCTATACTCTTTCTGTTTCATTTATTTTTCTTCTCAGAGTACCTTACATGATTTTTATTTTTCCCACAGCTATTTGAGGTACTGATGTAAAGCACACAAAGGCATTTTTTATTTTCAAAAACTGAAGTCCATTACATACCCATGTCTGTTAGTGTTACCCATGACTTTGATGGACAACAGCAGGAAATATTTGAATTCATTAAACCAAAAGAAACATGTTGAGAAGTGAATAGTCACTTTTCTTAAAACATCTTGATAGATTTTGTTCATATCCAAAAGGAACATTGCGAAGCACACAAGGATATTCAGGTAACTTCACTGATTCTGCAAAGGCTTCCCTGTGGCGCACACAGTGAAGAATCTGCCTGCAATGCAGGAGACCTGAGTTCAATTCCTAGGTTGGGAAGATCCCCTAAAGAAGGGCATGGCAACTCATTCCAGTATTCTTGCCTGGAGAATTCCTTGGACAGATGAGCCTGGTGGGCTACAGTCCATGGGGTCACAAAGATTTGGACATGACTGAGCAACTAACACT